GCGCCATACCGGCACCACTCCAGGGGGCTCCACAGCCGGCCCAATGGGTAGCTGCTAGGGAAAAGTTACCGACAGCTGTGCACGCGGCGCGCACACACCCCTAACTGGAATAGATATGAGCAAGCGCTCGAAGAAGAATATAATTATTCCTCACTAAGAATCATGCTTTCAATGATCACATATCTGTTCTCATTTCAATTCTTGTTCATAAATATTAAAAGCATAATGAAAAGTATTACTACATATATTCATTTTTCATATGCCATGCATAGAAGGACATAACTAGTTCAGTTATTGATAATATATTTGCATAATTATGTGTCATACTACAAATCTCATTACTGTTTAGAGATCTCATTGTACTAAGCTTGTACCAATGTTTACTGTAGATTTTTGAAATTAGTTTAATGTTTATGGATAAATTTGTCTTCCTTCTAAAAAGACAAATGAAGAACTAATAATTCCAACTAGCGCCAAGTTTAGTAAACGCAGACGTGAAACCTTCTTCAAGGAGCTCTGCTTCGTCTCTCAACCGCAAACCCCATCACTTCCTCTGACTAAGTTGGCTCAGTGTGAAGGTGGCTTATTCACCTTTCTGTAGCTGATACACCCCACAAGGTCATACCATCTTCTGAATAGGGCCTTTACATGCTCCTCTACTGGAGTGTGCTGGTGAATAGATTTTTGTCTGCAGTCTCACGAGCCACAAAGTGCATTTTCAGGAATAGTGGAGACAAAAATAGAAGATAATTCCACTATTAAAGATGAGTTGAAATATTTTTCATTTGATTTTGGAGAAATTGTACTAATGTTATTTACAAATGGCCTCAACAAAATTACACTAACAAAACTGAGAAGCAAACATACATACTATCCTACAGGGGAAAAGGAACCAACTAATGAGGAGGGAGGGTATCAGCCACCCAGAACACAACACACTGCACTGCAGGAAGGGCAAATATTTAATCAAGGACCCCGAATCTTAAAAAATTTGACATCAACTGCAACATTCACACAGAGCGCATCGGACTTTTATTTTTAGGGACTTGTGTAACAGAACCCAATGCAGCTAACTACATGGTACCAATATTTACCTGCCACAGAAAGATGAAAGACTGAGTCAATCCTACCAAGATTTGAAACAATGGTTCCAGGGAGTCCAAATATTCCAATCTATTCAGGGAATAGCAGGTGCCTTTCAGTCAATCAGTTATAAATTTAAATTTTTCTCTTTAGTCTTGTGTTCAGCAGAGCTTGAATAATGTTCAATTATTAATGAATAATTAGTCGATGTAATAATCGCCAAAGCATGCCAAGAATTATGCCCTACTATTAAACTACAGTATATATTATCCAAGACTGACATTAGTTCTGTCATTCAGATGGTACACCTCTCTCCTGGGACTGAAGGATGTGGGGTCAAATATCACACCAGGACTTTGCTTTATATGCAAAGCGGACATTTCATTGTGGTATCAGAGGAAGTGTTTCTGTCAGATGAGTTGTCAAAACAAGGACCCTCCTTTCTAATTCTGGTGGCCATCAGTGGAAGTTAAAAAATGTGGGGGCGGGAGAGGGGGGACTTATATATATAAAATCAATCAAGTGACTATGTGGACAGACAAAATTCCAATAAAGCAACTTCCAATTTGAGCTATTGCTGGGCACATAATGGAGGTCACATTTGCCTATCCAGTCACTATACTATCCGTTTCTAACTCATTACTGTAAAGCATTTTGTAATACTTTGAATCTGAAGGATGCTACATGAAACTAAACTCCATTCTACTCTTTCACGGTCAGCTCTGAAATTGGACAGCCCTGATAAATTAATACCGATGGCATACTTTAGATTATCTATGGAATCATCACCAAGCTGATGACCTCCTGGCTCTATTTGCTGATCATTCTTTCAGATCACTAACCATTCATCACTTATTTAATTACTCCATCTCAAAAGATTTTTATTAAGTTTGAAATTGTCATTAGTGAGACTATAATAATAATAGTTCACTTTTAGAGCAGCAACATATCATTATAAAATCAGCAATAGGTAGGAACTTAAGCAAACATGAACCTCCTGTAAGTTCTTTAGGCCTCGGTCCTGCAAATACTTATGGACATGTTTAACTTTACTCAAAAGTAGTCCTATTGCCTTCAGTGGGATCACTCACATGCATCAAGTTAAACTCAGATGTAGGTGTTTGAGATGTTGGGCATTTTAGACTCTTAACTTGCATTTTATTTTATATATATAATGCATTAAAAATGTTGGTTGCAAAGTCAAACACTCAAAAATCAGGAAAAAGTCCGATTTAACAAAGTTTACCCAGGCAACCTTAATTTCTGCCCCTTTCTGAACTCATCCCATGAAATGAATGAAGCAGGGGTCCTGTGAAAAGCATGAGAGCATGTAACTGAAGACTATAAGATAATGCATACGAACAAGGAGTCAGAATTAAGGTTGCATGGGTTATCTTAAAATGGACATTTCCTAACTTACCAGTGCTAAACTTTGCAATCTAAATAGCACAGATAACAGATTTTTGTAGGTAATTTCTTAACTTCTTTCTTATTAAAAGCAGATTTTATTATGTACAATTGGAACAGCTCTCCCATCAGGCATCATCAGGAGAGTCAGAACCTTGCATTTGCAGCACAGACTTCTACTACTTGAGATGTAGGACTAATTGCATTCAATGGCAATGGGAGAAGGCTGTCATCAAGGGAAGGGGGATGGACTGCCAGCACCATGTTCTGGGTCCAGGGAATTGTAGAGTGAGTCCTTCTTGGTCTCTCTTCCTGCATGCCACCCTCTGTTTGGGGGAGTTCCTGCACTACACGGTACCCCAAATATTGTTGAATTTCACTGCTGCAAAAGGACCCATAATGGTTATTGAAGTTATTTCCTCATATCTTTACCAATTACTTTTGAGTATTATAACTTGGAAACTGAAATGGCCTCAGTCTTGCAAGGTCCTGAGCACCCTCAACTTCTAATGAGTTAATGGGAGTTGAAAGTACTCAGCACCTCATAGGTTTAAGCCTTAAGGCCCCAGGTCAGAAATCATTTATGAGTTCAATGGGACTGCTTGCAGGCACGAAATTAAGCAAGTGTGTCATAATTTTTTTTGCAGGATAAGGGCCTAAGCATTTTTAACTCAATATGGGGGAGGTGTAAATATTAGAGATGGTTGGGAAAAGCAAGATGTTTGAAATAGACAAAAAAAGGCAACAAATTCCATGAAATTTCTCATGGAAAACATTTTTCATTTCTCAGCCAGCACTACTCAATAGATCGAAACAGTAGTTGACATAAGATTGCAAAACTGTATTAATGTAAAATTATACAAATATATCTCCACTGTCTGTTACATAATATTAGATGTCAAGACTTTTTTAATGCTGATTCAGTTTATAAGTTAGGCACACTGGAACAATTGATTAAACAAAAGCAATCAGATTTGTGTTGATGTCTCTACACCTGATGTAGGGAAACAGTGATGTATGCAGCTGCTCTGCACTAGTCTTCTGTAGCCAAATAACCACATTATTAAAATATATCATTTACATGCAAACAAATGAGGTGAACGTCTTCTCCAGATGATAAACAGTGTACTTCATCTTGTAAAAATTAAGGGATGCTACTGAGAAGAGGGGGAAAAACAACTATGCTGTCTTAAGTATTAATCCAATCCATATTAATTTTATTGTAAAATCAAAGTTTAAAAAAACCAAACTAGTAATGCAAAAAATGCAGAGCCTTATTGACTACAGTACAATGACAGATATTCTATTAAAGTCAAATCTCCTCTAGACTCATTTGTTTCATATAAATTACATGTTCTTAGATCCATCTGTGAAAATTGGGAGGTTAATTATGATGGTACACTGCATGATTCCACAGCTAAATGCTGAAGTAGTTCTACACCAGTACCATATGTCTGTCTTAGGAAAATGTAGAAAGATTAATTAGGAGTTCAAGCCCAAGATTTGGGAAAGTAATACTCTGAACACAATTAGATTGTTACACTGTGTACTATGCAAATTGAAGTTTTAATTAAGAGCTGAAACATCAGTCAGGGGGGAAAATAAATCTATGAAGCCTAAATTGTATGACTCAGACCTTCCTTACTGACACTGCTTACTAATGAAGGTCCTTTCAGAAACCATGCACTGGCTAGTCACAACAAAAGTCATTTTCACTTGTCACATTCATTTGATGTAGATATTACCTGTGGAGCATTTTAATCCTATTTGCTCTCCTTAACCATTTTTTAATTACCATCTATCCTGACACTAAAGAAAATGTTCTCACAAATAGGCCAGGCCCAGGACACGTTAAATAAACCAGCTGAAAAGTCAGTTTAACATTACAGTGCCCTGAAGTGTTCTTACTGCCACTTAACTGCCTCAGACACAGGGCTATTGTAGCAAGCTTTCCAGTTTCAAGATATTCCATTACGAAACAGCTCCTTTTATAATATTCACTCTTATGGAGAGAGCAATGGGTTATCATGTGCCTGTTCCAAATCCCACTGAAGTTAATGAGAGTTTTTCCATTTACTTCAATGGGCTTTGGATCATTCACTAAAACTAGGCTTGGCAGAATTCTATTTTTATTTTTTCGTAATTTCAATGGATAACATTTCTTTAAGTTTTTTTTTATTTTCATCAATTTAAATTTTCACAGTTGCTGGCTGTAAGAGGGTGGTCAGAATTATTTCTCGACAGCAGATATTGAGATTCAAAACATTATAACTTATAATCATTATAACACAAATTGTCAAAATCCCATGTCAAAATATACAAAGTAAATATCCTTCAATCAAACTCTGAAGTTCTTAAGCAGCATTTTTCTTATGTTGCCTATCTGTAAATTTCAATAATCATAGATGGAATCACTTTTGTCGATTTGTGCATGTACGATAAGTCAACATTTACCAACAAAAATTAAATTCTTCCGAGCTTACCTAGCACATTAAATTAATTTTACTTACCACATATTCAAACACAAGTGTCAATGTCTCCTTGGTGTGAATGATGTCATGAAGCAGCACAATGTTAGCATGTTTCAGTCCTTTCAAAAGAGAAGCTGCAAAGCAAAATGTACACATTATAAAGAACATGTTACTTCCACAAGAAATAAATATTTTATAGTGAAGGATTAGCCCATTTGTTTTTAAAATGATTAGGATGGTAAATCAGTCACTCTACAGATTTCATTCGCTGGCTGGCCATCAATGGCTTGGTCCTGAGAGGTGCTAAAATGCCCTCAATTTCATCCTTCCGCATGTCTCAAGATTAGGGTTAGGCAAAATTTTGGGGCAAAACTTTTCACTCAAAAAATACAGATTTGAATCAACCAAAATATTTCACAAATTTGTGTCAAATTCACTGAATTGTTTTGGTCAAAAAAAACCTAAAAATAAATCCGGACAAAAACAAAACGGTTCACTTTGAAAATGTTTAAGTGAAATGTTTCAGTTTTTTTCTAGTTTTTTTTTAAAAAGGTTTATATATATATGAAAACAATTCAGGAAATTTAAATTTGTGAAATGTCTTGGTTGACCCAAACCTGCATTTTTGGGGTTTAAATTTTTCAATTTGAATGACTGTTTTGAAATTTATTTCAATTTTATTAATAAAAAATGTTCATAACAAAGCAAAATGTTTTGTTCAGCCCAAAGTTGTTGTTTTTTTAAACTTTTTGGTTTGCTGAAAAATATGATTTCTTTTTGTCTTGGGTCTACCCAAAATGACCTTCCCTCCCCCAGTTTTCAGCACAGCCAGTGAAATGAAAAATCATTTATTCTCACAGCACTAATGAGGATAAAGCCATCCTTCTCTCAGTGTTGTCTTCTACATTTTGCCAGTCAAATTCAACCCTGCTCTGAGGCAGAAATAACAGGGGTTTCATTTGAGTGGTCTCCACTGAGTGACTCAAACCATTACCTTCTAGCCTATCAAATGTGTATGTTGATTTTATAATCTAAAATCTTTTTGTATCTCACATAAGATTTATCTCGGATAAGATCTGAACATTTTTCAAAATGACATTTCCCTTTCATAGGCAAAACAAAGGAGCTTTCTAACCAAAGGCAATCACATATTCTGTACATAGCACTTTGATAACTTCCCCCCATACACATTCAGATTTGTGGGAATTAACTATTTGTATTAGTCAGTGACAATAGAAAAATAAGTTAAGCAGTGTTTTCATATCGTTTTATAAATGTTATCAATTCATATTTCTTATTAACATCAGGGTTTTAGAATAGTGACAGAAATCTTTGTCTACTGAATCTGCAGAAGATTCCCCCCCAAAAAATTTCTTTTGCACTGCAATGCATATTTAATGCTTGCTTCGCAATGAATAATTAACATGTATATTTAATGTTCCACAAAATATGCCATAGTTAAGCAATATGATATGACAAGCCATGTGTTGTTACCAATGTCAACATGTCATTGGTGCCTCATCATGCATACATCTGAGAAGGATTAATACCAGTTATCATCATGGAGTATATTATACACAGAAATATATGGTATGTCTCGGTAGTCATTTACCGTGACTAATTTTTCCTCTTCCCCTCTTCCCTGTTGTTTTGGAAAATAATGAAGCACCAGATTGTGCCAACATCTGCATGTGGGCATCCCTCTTTCCCATGCACAGAAGAGGCTCAGACACTTCCATGGAACAGAGGAGAGTGTACTCTGAAGGGTTGGGACTCACCCAGGAGATCAGGAATGGACAGCCCTGCTTTGAATGGAGGCATGCACACATTGTCTCCCAAACTGGCCCTCTAGGGATTACCCTGAAAATGTAATACAGCCCTGGGCAACAACTCCATTGCAATGTGCAACTCGCCCCCACTCCATTTAAGGATTCTTGTTTGGCAGTCCCAGCTAGCACCCCCCTACTGGAGCTATGTTGTGAGGAAGTGGAGGATGATGGGACAGGGACACACTCAAGGATCCAGAGCCAGTGATCCACATAGATGACTTTGGCCTCAGGTGACTCCTACAGGATTTGTGGAACTTGAAGGCTGGATCCCAGCCTCATTGACCAAAGGTGAGGCAAACCCCTTCTCTTGATAGAACAGTTGGGGGAATGCCACAAAGGATCTTGGCTGAGATTTCCTCTCCTTTAGTCCTCCCTATTCCTGTAGCTTTTACTACTGCTTGATATCAGGAATGTTCAATCTCACAATTTCAGTATAAAAGGCCAAATTAAAGCTGTTATTGGTGCATGTCACAGGGTGGCTGGTCCCAGTAAATGAAGTAGGTCCAGCACCCCTGTTCCACAACAGGTACTCCCACTTTGGCCAATTAAGAGGGCGGGGGCAGCACCTGGATCTATAAAAGATGAGGGACAATCAGAGGGAAGGGGAGATCCAGTGAGAGAAGAGAGCTGGTGAGTTAAGACTGCCAGAGTCAAGAGCCTGGAGGAGCTCTCCAAGCAAACCTGCAGAAAGCTATCTGCAGACCATTCCTGGAAAGAGGACAGAATTATCAGGAAGCCAGTGGATGGGCTGGCCTGCTATCCTTCCAGTGCCACAGAGCCATGGCCAGAGAGGCTGGTAAGGACTGAAGGCTGAGAGCAGCAGAGGGAGATGCTTGCTGGCTCTCAGAGCCAGGGCATGGTGAGGGGCGCAGAGGCTGCACTGCAGTTTATAACCAGAATGTGGTGAGGAGCAGAAGTGCTCTACTTGATGCAGTTTCTGGATTATGGTTATGGGACTTGTTTGTGGGACTTTTATAATAAATTAACCCCTCAAGGGATATATATATATTCAGAAAAACTATTTTGACAATTTCGGGAGACTCAAAGGGAAACTGAGGTAGGCGCACCTCTCATGCCATGGCCTGTCACAGGAGGGTGCTCTAGGCAGGGCCACCTTATGACAGTAAGCTAACGATCACCTAAAGGAGATAAACACTTCAGGCAGTCACCTGATCAGTGAACAGCTGATAACACTAATATAGGAATATTTTAAAAACTCTAGCATTTCTTTATCCCTCCGGACATTAGCTAATTCTTCCCCGTTCATTATGCTTTTACTGGGGTATCACTAGAAGAACTATAGTGCCTGGAGGGAGAAATTTTTGGCCATTGGGAGCCAAAACCAAATTGGAATTTTTCTCGGAGATGAGTCCTGACTGACCCTGCTATCAAGGAACAAACACAGAGGTGGAATGTATCAAAAAGAGAGGAGCTGACATGGAGCTCAGAGGAGGTAAACAGGTAGTAAGAAACTCCATTAACCAGTTTATCTTTAGTAACAGCTATCATTCAACAAGGAACCAGAGTAAGTGGAACAGGCTGTTTTGGAAAGAGGAAAGGAAGCAAGGAAGACCATAACACAATTTTAATAATTGTCTCAGTTTATAACCTTAAGGAGGACTATAATTGTGTTCAAGTTGTAGGGTAAAAGCCAACTAAATACACACACTTTTTTTTTTAATGGAAAGAAGTGAACAGTAGACAGAACGTGATACTACATAAAGCCCTCACCCCTTTTCAACTCACCATCCCACTCTCTCCCATACAGAGGGACGCATTAAAAATATCCTGACACAAGCTTAGTAGAGCTACATGCTGAAATAGTATTTATGACCTCTCTCTGTCTTCACTGTTCAGGCTACCTCCTCTAGATGGCTATTACTTCATTGTTAAAACCTCTAAATGGGTCATTAAAGCTTAAACAGTACATTGCAAGCAACACACCCTCAGGTTTTTGTACAGTCTCTCCTCCTACACATACCCTCTTACTCCTGCCTCTCATTTATCATCTGTAATAGCTAATTCTCTCCCTTATCTGACTGTTTTTTTCTGGATCTTCAATATCTACCACAGGCCACAAGAATTACAAAATGGCTGCTATGGGTTCTTTGCCTCCCATATTAGTCCCACAGAAAGAAGTAAATAATAGAGCAGTTTAATATACATGGAAAGAAAAATCCTTCTCGACTGTCATTACATATGTAATATTTTTATATTGTGGAAACCAAAAATCAGTTCTGCCATCAGTTACATTGGTGTAAATCCAGGGTAACAGATGCAATCAATGGAGTTGCTCTGCATTTACATTAGTGTAACTAATGGAAGCAATATGGGAGCCAAATTCTGCCTATTGTTTTTGAAAACTATACCACGAGACAACACAAAACATTTCTTGACCCATAGGCTAAACATGTGTGATTTAATAAGTGGACTGCATTTCCCCTTCTTCTACCGCCCGCCAAAAAAAAAATCCTTGTTTAAGTGGCATGCATAATCTAGAGTATGAAGACATTTAGAAACATCTCCTTTCAAAACAAATGGTCACAAATAACTGCTGTTGAAATCTCACAAGGCATTTTGTGTAAGTTCTTGTTCAGAAGTGGATAGAACTGCAAAAACTCCACTAAATTCAAAGATGGGACCAAATAAGTAGCATCTAAAGGCAGGAAGACTAGAGAATGAAACAGCATAGGTCTCTGTGACTGACCTGAATTCAATTTTGAAGCTGCCAATACAGTTGCTGTTGGAGCTCAACAAGGAGTCAGGTGCTGCTGCTCCTGCTGTTACAGCTAGAACAAAATATTCTCCTACAGATTGTCAACCAAATCTAATCATCACCTACCAATGTCACACTAAACATGTTTTTTGGGGAAAGAAGACTAAAATATTGTTGAGACAGCACTTCAAGAAACCACAACAGCAGCAGGGAATACCAATATGTACAGTATACTTAGCATTTATTCTGAAAAACTAATGATGTAATATTACTTTGATACTAAGATTTTTATCCTCACATCAAATGTAAGGTAAACAGATGGCAGCATTTTTAATTCATTTCCCCAATGAGTCTTCAGCAGGCATGCTAGCACGAGTCTTTAAAAAAAATCAGTATTTGGGCTAAATATTACTACATTTGGTTGGATGCATAGGTGCTTGTTCTCTATTAAATGTTTTTATTCATTCTCAGATAGGATAAATTCCCAAAATTAAAAGACTCACTTGGGAGTCAGGCAATGAGATAAAGCAGTAGTTAAAATTATCACAAACCATTACTTTCTGTAATCTACGAGTTCAATAATGCTCAT